TTGCCAACAATTCTTGGAATTCCTTGACCTGTTGACTCATTATTCCAATCTCTGCCTCTGGTGTCACATCCTTCCTGGATGTCTATCTTTACAGTCATCTCTTCTTTTATAAGGACACCAGCCATACTGAATGAAGGGCCCAGCTACCTACCCCAGGATGAGCTCATCTTAGCTAACTACATCTGCTCTAGACCTCTTTCCAGATAAAGTCACTTTCTGAGGTGCCAGGGGTTAGGACTTCAACCTAACTCTTTTAGGGACACAAGCTTAATCCACAACAGATGGGAGGAGGCGCACTAAGAAGTATTGCGTATTTTCCTCAGAGGGGAGGGGGTATGTGTTGGGGTGTGAGGGGGGTCGCCTGGCCCTGCACGCGCAGTCACCTCTGCATCTGGCCGAGCGAGGGGCATCTGCCTTCTGCTTGTCTGCCTTCACCGCGAGCTCATGCTCAGGCAGTGCCTAAGGCTGACCGTGCACGGGGCAGACCTCATTCTCATCTCGTCCAACCCATGAAACACGCTCTGAAGGACATGTTATCAGAGAAAGGGAGGTCCTGACAAATGAGACACAGGCACGCGTTACTGTATTGCGCTTCATTTTCACTGCCCTTCCACAGATACTGTATTGTCATCAACAGCAAGGAAGACCCTCCACCAGCAAAAAGTTAACGACTCGCTGAGGGCTCAGATGATGGTTAGCATTTTTAGCAATTGAGTACTTTTTAATTAAGGTATGTACATTGAGCCCTGACCAGTTTGGCTCAGTGGATAGAGTGTCGGCCTGCAGACTCAAGGGTCCCGGGTTCGATTGTGGCCAAGGGCATGTACCTTGGTTGCAGGTACATACCCAGTAGGGAGGTGTGCAGGAAGCAGCTGATCGATGTTTCTCTCTCATCGATGTTTCTGACTCTCTATCCCTCTCCCTTCCTCTCTGTAAAAAAATCAATAAAAAATATATTTTAAGCCGAAACCGGTTTGGCTCAGTGGATAGAGCGTCAGCCTGCGGACTGAAGGGTCCCAGGTTCGATTCCGGTCAAGGGCATGTACCTGGGTTGCAGGCACATCCCCAGTAGGAGATGTGCAGGAGGCAGCTGATCGATGTTTCTCTATCATCGATGTTTCTAACTCTCTATCTCTCTCCCTTCCTCTCTGTAAAAAATCAATAAAATATATTTAAAAATATATATATATATATTTTTTAAAAAAGTATGTACTTTGGGTTGTTTTTTTGTTTGTTTGTTTTGTTTTAATGTGTTAACTGGTATTTCAGAGAGACGAAGGGAGAGGGATAGAGAGATAGAAACATTGATCAGCTGCCTCCTGCATGTCTCTACTGAGGATTCAGCCTGAAACCCGGGCATGTGCCCTGACAGGGAATCAAACCAGGGACCTCTTGGTTCATGGGTTGATGCTCAACCCCTAAGCCACGCCGGCTGGGCTGTCCATTGTTCTTAAAGACATAATACTTGTTGCACATTTAATAGACTACGGTATAGTGTAAACATAACTTTATAGGCACTGGGAAACCGAAAACTGTGTGTGACTTGCTTTATTGAGACGTTCGCTTTATTGCGGTAGCCTGGAAGCGGCCTCAGTATCTCCAAGGTACGCCAGCAAATACAAGGGGAGGAGGCCCCGGTCTACCTCCCCACCATGCAGGCAGTCGAGATGGGGCCACGTTTGGAGACAAGCCAGGTGGGCACAATCCCTGGCCAGAGGTGCTGTAGATCAGTCAGGTTTGGGGAAGGCATGTTGGATGGGGAACCTGGATGTACCTTCACATCAAGGCTTCACTGCACCTCTGTTCTCCAGCGGGAGACCCAGTCTAGTGTTTTTCTGGGCGTATGGTTTCTTAGAAGGGAAATCTGAAGGTATTAGTGGGGGTACACTTCACCTCCTGCCACACCCAGGTTTGTGAGACTGGGAAGTGCTGTTTTTCAAACAGCTGCTTAAGACTGCAGAACCCATCTGGCTCAGTGGGGGGAGGGGAGGGGGGGGCATGTAGAGGCAGTCAATCGATGATTCTCTCTCATCATTGATGTTTCTCTCTCCCCTCCTCCCTTCTTCTCTAAAATCAATAAAAACATATTTTCAAAAAAGACTGCAGAACCCCCAACCATTCAAAGAAGAAAAGTAAAAACCCAACCTATAAAATGAATGAAAATGGTGCTGAGGGGGGGGTAGGGGGGCCTCCCCAAATGGCCACCCCAGCAAATTCTCTCCCCAGAGAGGAAAATGACTAAAAGTGACATGGAAACGCACAAAGCAAGTAAGAAAAGGACCCTTGTGTATTCACCTATTACTTAAGAGGTTCAAATGTTCATCAGAAATAGTCTGGAGAGTTTGACATTAAGGAGTTATTGTTAAAATGTTTTTTAAAGTATGCTGGGGGCATTTTGTGTTTTTTTAAACTCGTTCTGAATTATTTCGGTTGGGATGCTATGGTGTCTGTCAAACATTTGTTTAAGAATGAAGTGTCATGGATGGAACTGGAGAGCATTATGCTAAGTGAAATAAGCCAGTCAATGAAGGAAAAATACCACATGATCTCACTCATTCATGGATAATAAAGACCATTATAAACTTATGAACAATAATAGATACAGAGGCAGAGCTGCCTCAAACAGATTGTCAAACTGCAGCGGGAAGGCCGGGGAGGGTTGGGGAGCAGGAGGGAGGGGGTGAGAGATCAACCGAAGGACTTGTATGCATGCATATAAGCATAACCAATGGACATAAGAGAATGGGGGGGTAGGGGAGGCCAGGGGATTGTCAAGGGCGGGGCGGGGGGGGGGGGAGGACACATATGTAATACCCTTTGTAATACTTTAAGCAATAAAATAAATTTTTTTTAAAAAAATGAAGTGTGTGATACCGCTCCTAGGGCAATGGAAACTAAAGAGAAAACAAATGGGACTACATCAAAATAAAAAGCTTCTGGACAGCAAAAGAAACCATCAACAAAACAAGAAAGCCCACTGCATGGGAGAACACATTTGCCAATGTTATATCCGATAAGGGTTTAATCTTCAACATTTACAGGGAACTCATACAACTTAACAAAAGGAAGATAAACAACCCAATCAAAAAATGGGCAACGGACCTAAATAGATACTTTTTGAAAGAAGACAGAAGGAAGGCCAAGAGACATATGAAAACATGCTCAAAGTCACTAATTATCCGAGAGATGCAAATCAAATGACAATGCGGTACCATCTCACACCTGTCAGAATGGCTATCATCAACAAATCAACAAACGGCAAGTGCTGGCGAGGATGTGGAGAAAAAGGAACCCTCGTGCACTGCTGGTGGGAGTGCAGACTGGTGCAGCCACTGTGGAGAACAGTATGGAGCTACCTCAGAAGACTAAAAATGGAACTCCCATTTGACCCAGTGATCCCACTTCTAGGAATATATATCCCAAGAAACTAGAAACACCAATCAGAAAGGATTTATACACCCCTATGTTCATAGCAGCACATTCACCATAGCTAAGAGCTGGAAACAGCCTAAGTGCCCATCAGCAGATGAGTGGATTAGAAAACTGTGGTACATCTACACGATGGAATTCTATGCTGCGGTAAAAAAAAGAAGGAATTCTTACCATTTGCAACAGCATGGATGGAGCTGGAGAGCATTATGCTAAGTGAAATAAGCCAGTCGGAGAAAGATAAATATCACATGATCTCACTCATTTATGGAATATAATGAACAACATAAACTGATGAACAAAAACAGATCCAGAGACAGAGAAGCACGGATCAGACCGTCAAAACACAGAGGGAAGGTAGGGGAGGGTGGGGGGAAGGGGGAGTGATCAACCAAAGGACTTGTATGCATGCATATAGGCCTAACCAATGGACACAGACACCGGGGGGGGGGGGGGAGTAATGGGGGCATAAGGACACATATGTAATACCGTAATCAATAAAGAAATTTTTAAAAAATGAAGTGTGGCCCTAGCCGGTTTGGCTCAGCGTATAGAGTGTCAGCCTATGGACTGAAGGGTCCCCAGGTTCGATTCTGGTCAAGGGCACACGCCCAGGTTGCTGGCTCGATCCCCAGGAGGGGGCGTGCAGGAGGCAGCCGATCAATGATTCCCTCTCATCATTGATGTTTCTAGCTCTCTCTCCCTCTCCCTTCCTCTCTGAAATTAATGAAAATATATTTTAAAAAAAGAAAAGAAAAGAATGCAGTGTGTGTGCCCTAGCCAGTCTGGCTCAGTGGATAGAGTGTGGGCCTGCAGACTGAAGGGTCCTGGGTTCGATTCTGGTCAAGGGCACGGACCTCGGGGTACCTCGGTTGCAACCAACCGATGTCTCTCTCTCACATCGATGTTCCTCCCTCTCCATCCCCCTCCCTCCCTTCCACTCTCTCTCTAAAAAAACCCCCCAAATATATAGAAATAAGGAACGCGGTGGGGTGGAGACACACTGCGCTGGCCTGGCTTGGTGGTGGTTGGAGGGCGGTGGTTACATGGGGCTGCATGCTGTCAGACCCTGCAAGTCCATATGGTTCCACCGATTTCTGTTCCTTCCACTTTTGTATTCGTTTGGACTTGTCCATCATAAAGTTTATTCTCTTTCGGCTAAAAAGTCTGCATTGTGCGTAAAGAGCAGCGTGAGCCCTGTAATTCGTTATTAACAAGCAGTGGAAAGTCGAAGCCCCAGCGGTGACAGGTGCTTTCCAGGGGGGGGGAGGACGGGCTGGAAGGAGAGCGCAGCCCGGATGGTGACCTCAACAGTTTACCTCTGCGGTTCGCAACTCAACCCCAAACTCCGCGGGTAGCAGGCTGCGCCCGGCTCCAGCCACGGGCGCCCCATCCGCCCTTCCTGTCATCATCCCTCCGCCCCGTCCACCCTGCCATCCACCCGATGGACACCAGGACCGCCCGCTCCAGAGCCCCCTGGCATCCCCGCATCCCCACTCTGTCCGGCATTTGCACCGGAATCTGCTGTGCGCGCCCCCTCCCAGGAGCCCGCAGCCCCGCAGCGCACTCACCCGCCGCGCTCCTCACACCTCCGCGCTCTGCACGAAACTGAAAGTAGGCGCCCAGAGCCGCGCAAGCCGAGCCGTGGCCACTGCTAGGAAATCACGTGGATTCTGCATGCCAGCCCTGCGCGGGTGGGGGTGCGGGTGCCCGCCGGGGCGCGGGCTGGGCGCGGGCCAGCGCGCCTTCGCTCTGCCTCTGCGCTTCCCCGCCTTTGGCAACTTTTGCAGGACCGAGGTTGCCCCCAAGGGACGCGGTGGGCGCAGGCCCCTGTCGTGAAGGCGAAACTGAGGCAGGGGGTGAGGGTTAACTTGTTAGGGGCAGAAATAGAATCGTGGGGGGCAGCTGTCATTATAAGAAATATTAGTTATGCTGTTAACCGCGATGGCTCTGTTCTGAATAGAGAAAGCACATTCTAGCCTGGCTGCGAGTGGTAGGCTCGGGACTTGGGAGACAGACAACCCCTGGAATGCGGGCCGCCTCCTCTTCCAAGAACTGCCTATATTTAGGGAAAGATTTGCAACCTTGTTGCTGAGACAGTCTGATCCCGGAGGTGCCCGCAAGTGATGAGCCCTGGGCCAGCATTGCCTGTAACCTGTGGCCCTTATACCTTGCCGACTTTCCCATGCCTTAATTCCGACTTTCCCACGGAATCTTTGTCCTTCTACCCGGTATAAGCAGCTGCCTTATGGGGGTGCGGGGGGGGGGGGGGGAAGAGCAGATTTTTGTGGATGACCTGCGGTTCTCCCATGCTGCCAGAATAAACGTTCATATAAGATTCGATCTTGTCTCTGCTTAATTGTCTCAAGTAGTGACAGGCAGCCGGATGGATTGGTTGTTGGGTTTCAGACTCACCCGGGTGCGCATGTGGGAGGGGTCAGTCGCTGCAGGCGGACCTGGGCTGAGTTCCACTCTCCCTGGAGGGTGGAACAGGATGGGAGGGAGGAGATGCTGGCTGTGCAGGAGGCGGGGACTGAGAACCTGTCCTGTCCTGGGGTGCTCTCTACAAAGAAAGCGGGGGACAAGGATGGGTCTTGGTGACGGAGTTCTTGGCCCTCTCACCGGTGCTAAACACGCTCTACAAATTCATCTCATCCAATCCTCAAAATAACCCTGAAAATGCAGGGGCAAGCATTACCCCACTTTGCAGATGCGTAAACTGAGGCCCAGAGAGGAGTAAGGTGAAGGAACTTGCCCAAGTCACACCAGGATACAGGCAGAGATGAGGAAGAGAGATGGAACGAAGGGGACTGGAAGGCAAAGAAGAAGGTGAGATGGCTCCCCCAGGAGGGGGGTGTCAGTGGCAATCCTGAACGGGCCACTAGCCCAACTACCCTTTCAAACCTTTATTGCAACCTCCCTGGCTTTTTGCATCTGTGCTGGGACGGGGAGCTCCCTCCTGCAGAGGCCCTCTCCATCCGCGGACAAGCCTGCCTGCTGGGAAGGTCTTCCATGCACCTCCAGCTTCCACGCCCAGACCACTGCCTCCCAGGCCAGGGGTGTGGGGGTGTGGGGGCGAGGCAGCATCCTGAGCACAACCGCCGGCGTCAGGCACCCTGGCTCCCAGTCCTGCTCGCCAACGTACTGGCCAAATGCCTTTATTTCCCGGAGCCTCAGTTTTGCCATCTGTGCAGAGGGGGTGAGAATCTGATGACCTCAAGTTGGGGCTGATGCAGCTGAGCCAGAAGCCCATGAGCCGACCTTATATTTGTGTCCCTTTCCGGAAGGCTCACATCGCCATGAGATGCAAGCTGCCTCCTTTCTCGGACCCAACCAGCCTTCTCCGGGGAACAGATTTCCCCAGGGCCTGGGTCGTGAGGCCTGGACCCCATCCGGGCTGGGAGGATTTCCTCCTCTTTTGAGGTGGGCCCAGGTCAGAGCTTCTGGGCTTGGATGGAGGAATCAGGAGGTGGGAGAAGGTTCTGGCCGCGCTGGAACTCCACGGCGCCCTCTGCTGGTGCAGGGCTGTGTAAGCGCCCTCCCAGGCCGACCTGGCTGCTATGCTGCTTGGGGACCTTGCAGAAGCTAAGGCTCTGCACCCCTGGAGTAGAAAGGAGACCTGGGGTCTGCTGGGGTCCTGGCCGGGCTGGGGTCCACCCTCTGTCTGCACGATGTGATGGTGAAGGTTTCTGTTTTGGGAAGGAGCTGCTCAGAGCTGCCAGTGTATCCTGATATTGCCTTGAAAAGACATACACACGAATTTTGTGCACCGGGCCTCTAGTATAAAATAATATTGAATGTCAACTGTAAATGAAAAATAAAATTTAAAAAAGAGAGAGATAAGAACTTGGCCCGCAACCCCAGTAGGTGGCGTGCAGGAGGCAGCCGATCAATAATTCTCTCTCATCATTGATGTTTCTATCTCTCTATCCCTCTCCCTTCTACTTTCTAAAATCCATTAAAAATATTTTTTTAAGAAAGAAAGAGAGAAACCCTCAGCACTCCCTTGAGACCAGCCATTTAGGGGCCAGGCCTTTGCTCAGGCAGTCCCTTCCTCCTGCCATGCCCTCCCTCCCTCCTTCCTGCTGTGTCTCCCTCCGCATTAAGACTCTAGGTAGGGTCTTGCGTCCCCAGCGGTCGATCCTAAGTCCTGGAGGGAAGGGGCCACATTTCCCTGCCAAAGCCTGGGCCCGACACAACACCAGAGGGACCAGGGAGCCACCTGCTGAGCCAGCCACCTGCTCCGGTCTCTGTGGCACATCCCGGAACCCCAGAGGCTCAGGAAGAGCCTCTCCTTGGAATAGGAGGCCGGGATGGTAGTGAGGATGGTTTCCCAGGCGCTGCTCGAAGCACAAAGCCACCCTCTTCTCTCCTCTCGTGCTGAGTGGGAAGCAATGGCCCCAAGGGGCCCCGGGGTCAGGTCTAGACATTGATCCTCTGGAAACCTGGGAAGTTCCCCAGCACCTGTGACTGTGGGGTCACGAGACACTTTCTCTTCTGGATTCTATTGACCCACATCCCCAACAGCCTGCTCCTGGTGGGTTGAAAGCTGTGTCCACCAGGACTTTCCCAGTTGCTCACTTCCTCCCCCTCCAAAGCCAAACCAGCACAGACGTCATCCGCCATCCGGGCCAGTTGGGTTTAACCGTATCTTGACATCGGGAGACCAATCACGCTAGCTTGGCGCTACCCCAAGTGTGGGCCCTTGACCAGCAGCATCAGCCCCTCCCAGCAGGTAACGTGGTTCGAAGGGGTGGGCCAGGAATCTGCTGACACTCTGCCTGTGATTCTGACGCGCAATCATGCCCCGGTTTGAGACTCCAGCTCTAGGTAACATCCAAATCGCTTCCTGGTTGTGAGTTATGAGTTGTAGATGCACCTTCCCTGACCACCCCACCCATTTTTCTTCCTGGCTCCGACACAGTCAAGGTCAAGGTTATGTAGACCTTGGTGTGGCTAGTGATTGTCCACCTCTGCCCATTAGACGCTAAGCTTTATGAAGTCAGGGACCAGAGAGTCCTGGCCCAGAGTGAAAACTCAGCAGATACTTTCTGTGGGGAAATATATATATAAAGTGCTGGAGGTGTAGCCCTGGCCGGCTTGGCTCAGTGGATAGAGCATCGGCCTGCAGACTGAAGGGTCCCGGGTTCGATTCTGGTCAAGGGCACGTACCTGGGCTGCAGGCTCGATCCCCAACCCTGGTCAGAGCATGTGCAGGAGGCAACCAATCGATGTGTCTCTCTCATCATTGATGTTTCTATCTCTCTCTCTCCCTTCCTGTCTGAAATTAATTTTTTTTTAAAAGTGCTGAAGGCGTAGAAACTATTGACTCTTATAACTGTGGCACGTGACCTTGACCAAGTGTCCTTCTGGTTGGCAGCTTCTGGGGCTCCCTCTCTGCAGTGAAGGGGTGGGCCCAACTGACCCCGAGGGCCACGCCCACCCTCTGCCATTTCAGTAGGGGCTCAATTTAATGCCCGCCCCCAATCCAGCCATCCCACACCAGCGCCAACGATGGCATCTCCTCCCACCCCACCCCAGAGCCTTCTGTAGCTGCTACTGCCTCCTTCTGGCCTTTGAGCGTCTATGACACAGTCTCAACCTACCTCCTGGCCTGATCTGCAGCAACTTCACCCCAACAGCCCTCTGCTCAGCCTCGCTGGGTTCTGCTGCTCAGCTCCTAAGCGTTCTTCCCTGGCCCAGGACACCTTCCCGGCTCTCTCCTGCCCCTGGAGGCCCAGGTACCACTGCCTGCAGGCAGCGTCCTACACACAGCCGTGTTTACGTCCACGGCCAGGCTCAAAGCAAGAAGGGAGGGCCTCAGAAGCCAGGAACAAGGGTTCTGGAAGCCAGGGGAGGAGGGCCACGCAGGACATCGCGGGAGGGGGTCACAGGTGTTTCTTAGGTCCTCCGAACTTTTCGGATTCCTAGATAACGAAAAGGAAGCCAATGAAAGAATCCAAAAACTTCAGAGCATTTTAAAAGGCTAAATGCAATGTGCTATCCTGGATCCTGGGGCCAAAAAAAATAATAATAATAAGTCAGTGGGAAACTGGTGACATTTAAATAAAGTTTGGAGTCTGGTTAACAGCGCAGGAGTGTAATCTCTTAGTTATGACAAGTGAACCGTGGTTCCGAGAGACGGCGGGTTTTTTCTTTATACTTTCCTCTATTCTCCTTGCATTACGTTTGTCTTTGGTTTTCACTATTAAGAAATATTGAGTCCGCGCGTCTCGGTCGTGGTGTGGCCTCCCGCGGTCTCCTCTGCAAATGGGCTCCCTGGCCTAGCGCTCCCCCCACCCCACCCCCCTCGTTCCCGACACCATGATCTCACGCCAAGGTCCACGAGGGGTCACCACTGAGGTTCCCACCAGCCCACAGAGAGAGCATGGCAGCATCCCCTCCAGCGGCTCCCTCATGACCACCACGACTACTAGCGGTGCCGTCTGGGCTCCACTTCCAGTACCAGCTCCCGTGGAAGTGCCGAGTACCCTGGGGTGGCCATCCCCCACCACCCGGGTCTCCCCAAAGCCAACCCGGGTCACTGGTGGGCAAGCTTCTTTTGGGGGGAAGTCCGGTCTCCATTCATGGCCACAGTGTCAGAGTCCCCAGAACTCTCGGAGTCTCCCCAGGCCTCCAGCAGCATGATCACCTGTGATCTGGCTCGGGAAGCCACAAGGAAGCAGCCTGGCGGCCAGCCCGGCAAAGTCAACGCTGGGCCCCCATCCTGAGTGGCCACCACCAGCCACCAGACTTCCAGAGGAGCTAAGCTCCTTGAGCCCCTCCCCCCCTCCTCCATCCCCTTCCCTCTCCTCACCCCACCTCGCTAGACCGGCTGCAGCAAGCAGAAGCAGCTGGGTTCTTTTATATCAAAACAGCAACACACCAAAAAGGAAGTTGAGAGAGCCCCACTTTTTACTACCCAAGCCACACGCAAGCCTGCCTGACACCCCACACCCATGTGCCTTGCACCAAGTGGAAAATAAATGAGAAGCAGCCAGCAAAAAAAAAAAAAAAGAAGAAGAAGAAGAAGGAGAAAGAAAGAAAGAAAAAAAGAAAGAAAGAAAGAAAAGAAAAGGAAAGGAAAGGAAAGAAAAAAGAAATATTGAGCCCAGCTGTTATGTCTCAGTGGTTGAGCACTGACCTATGAACCAGGAGGTTGAGGTTCGATTCCTGGTCAGGGCACATGCATGGGTTGTGGGCTCGATCCCCAGTCCAGGGCGTGCAGGAAGCAGCTGATCAATGCTTCTCTCTCATCATTGATGCTTCTATCCCTCTCTCCTTCTCCCCTCCTCTCTGAAGTCAATAAAAAAAAATATATATTTAAAATGTGAGCCACAAAACGTTGCCTGGCTAGGCGTGGGGTGAGAAATTATATCCTCACGGAAGACCAGACGGTGACAACCTGGTCTGACAGCACATCTGAGGCTCTGGAGGCTGTGGACGGGTACCTGGGTCCAGTGGGTGAGAATGTCATGGGAAAGCTGTGGGGGACGTGGGATGGGGGCGACCCATCGCCAGGACAGGGACCCGTCAGAACGGTGGCCACTGCCCCGGGGAGAGTGGAGGGACGAAGCCAACTCAGAGTGGCCAGGGCGGGGGAAAGAGGAAGCAGCCCGGGGCAGCTCTGAGGCTTGAGCCCTGGGCCCACCCCGCCACTCCCCTCCCTGTGACCTGGGCATGACTCTTGCCCCCTCCGGCCCTTGGTTTTCTCAGCTGTGCGACTGAAGCCATCCCTCACCCCGCTCACCTCTCAGGGTCTGGTGAGGGTGCCCCCACTGAGCTCTTGGTGCCTCGACTTCTTCATTCGCACAATGGAGACAACAACAGTGCCTGCCTGGTAGCTGGTTGTGAAGATGAAATAAGACAAAGCTTAGCTCAGGACCTGCTGCCCGGACGACTTCCACAAAGCGGCGCTGCTGCTTCTCTGTGAGGCTGTTCATGCAGCAGCGATGCTTCCGCCCTGGGCGAGGCGCCGGGTGCAGCTCAGAGCCCAGGGCGGGGTGCAGCCCAGATCAAACCGGCACGGCTCCACCTTAGGAAGCTGGGTGCTTCCCAGGTAATCCCAGAACTGACACCTGAGGGCACCTGAACAGAGAGGGGCACCGGGCTGCGGTTTGAGAGCCCTGGAGAAGGGATCTGACCTCATTGGGCCGAGGGGAGGGAGGCTTGCCCTGAGGAGGAATCAAATGGGGGGAGGGGGGGAGAGAAAACATTCTGGGCGTGTGCAAAGGCCCTGCGGAGGGAGCGTGGCCGGTACAGGAAATGGACGGGCAGCAGGGGGCGGGCAGCAGGGACGGGCTCCAGCCGTGAAACCAACGGCTGCTTTACAACACGAGGCTTCGCCTCACGCACAGCTGAGCTCACACCAAAGGGAGGACCATCCTAGACGCTGGAGAGGAAGGTGGCACCGAGCGCCCAGGCTGTGACCACAGCGATCCAGAGAGACGAGGCCAGGATGTGGGTTCAGACCACACTGGCGTGTGGGGTTACGACAGCCTCCGAGGCAAAGACGTGAGAGGAGGCGTTGGGGCTAAAATAACTCCCCTCCGTTGTAAGGAGACGACACTTACCCGCCGAAGGAAGCCACAAGGAGCGCTGCGTTGGGGCAGGGCCCCTAGGAAGGAAACCCCAGCCCGTGCACATGCAGCTCTGACGTCTACGCCGTCCTGCCCGCTGGCACAGGTCGTCCTGAGCCCAGAGATGAACCTAACAGCCCCCCCACACACACACACACCCAGACCCGTGCCTGATGCAACCACTGAGGCTCCTGGCACAAGTGCAAAACCACTCTCCAAGCAGAGGTGGGGGGGGGGGGGACCAGGAGGCTGAGTCTGTCCGCAGGAAAACCAAGTTCCCCTGGAGATGAGCTTCCGAGTAACCAGGCCTCACAGACCACAGGAGGAACCATCCACCACGTGAGCGATCCAACAAACAACCCCTAAGAGGGCAGGCCCCCCAAAGAACAGCCTGGAAGGAACCGCAGAGGAGCACAGAGCACAGCGTGGGGGCATCAGCACTGCCACTTCCGGACCGCCTTTCTGTGTGTCGGTAGGCGCAGAGCATGCTCCTGGCACAGGGTTGGCATGAGCACAGGCGAGAATGAAGTGGCCGTCCTGGGAGGTGGCCTTGGCCAGGGAGGTGGGGACTTGCGTGGAGAACCGGAAGTCCAGCGTGCAGGCGGGGCCCGAGGTGGGGCCCCAGGCGGGGAGGAAGGAGGCGTCTGAGAACGTCTTGTGGATAAAGTGACCCTAGAGAAGGCCGGGTGCGGCCTGGACCCCTCTCCTGCCCTTTCCCGGGTGGCCCTGCTGGGCTAGGAGCCAGCTCCCGGAAGCCGAAAAGGAGCCTCGGAAAGCATCCAGCCCCGAGTTCAGATGGGGAAGCGGAGGGAGAGCTGCACTCACGACTAGAGGCTCCTCCCAACTGGCCTTTCATTCATTCAACAGGTAGCTCCCGAGTGCCTGCTGTGTCCCAACCACCGTGTGGGGTGAGCCAGACGGACGTGGTGCCAACCCTCACAGGCTTATCTCCCAGGGAAGACATCGGTCAGAACGTCTGGTGACCTGCTTCCTCCCTGCCCTGGCTGGCTGCCCGCCGGCCCCGCACCTGCAGGGGGGCATCAAAGGGGCCCAGCGACGTGTACTTACTCACACTCCCCTTGGGGATAGCGAGCAGGTTTACATGCTGTCAGAGTCACAGGCTGCAGAGTCCCCCACCACCACAAGAGGGAGGCCTTGGCCTCCAGGCAGTGCCCACCTGTGGCCCAGGGCCAGCCCGGAGCTTGGCCAGCTCTGGGCTCCCTCACCCCCACAAACATGCCAGATTGAGCCTCCTTTGGTGCCCTTAGAACCTTCTATCAGCAGGGCCTTCTCTCTCTGCTGAGGCCAATGCCGGGAGTCTGGCCTCCCTGCTTCCCCACGGGGAGCAGGAAACATATTTATCTGTGTGTTGATCTGAAGGTCAACGGAGGAGTTGACCTCACAGTCGACAGACGGATGATCAACGCCCAACCTGCAAAGAGTCAAGGACCCGGGACCTTTGTCCTGCCCTCGGCCCAGAGAGGGGCCAGGGAGAGGCCCGTCAGCAGAGTGGGGACGCTTACCAGCAGGCGCCCTAGGGCCTCCTTGGAGGTCACAGACGTGTTCTGCATGGAGACCTCCATGGACTTGTCCTCCACCCACTCCTCCTGGCGGCTGGCGATGGACCGGTGGCTGACCTGGATGCGGGAGAACCAGTGGACTAGGGCAGGCATCGTGGGGCCTTTCCGCAGGAGAGGAGGCCCCGTCCCTGGGTGGCCGTCACTCTTCTCCGTGAGCTCCTGTAACTTCCATCCTGTGGCGCACGGTTAACCGTTATTAATCTATCTTAGGTTAAATGATAAGAAAGAAAATAAAAATATTTGCTTTCAGTATTTGTATATAAACATGCATGTTTGTGTATGACTATGCAAGCGTGCATAACCAACAAGGAAGAAATATGCATGATAATTACAGCCCTCAATTCTGCAACCGTTCACATGGTTGCTGGGTTTTATAGCCGTCATCTTCCACTACCCAGCCCAGGCCCTCAGCGAACATCTCAGCGGGTCATGCCTGGTTCCCTACCTGGTGGGGTGACCCCAGCCTTCATTCCTGAGAAGTCTGGGCCCAGTTACCCTGCCACTGACTTTAATCACAGGATATGGTAGTGCTAAGTGACATCCTATGGGGTTCCTCATTATCATCCCAGCCAATAGAGCAATGCTCTTCTTTGCCTGTGGAGAAGTTCAAAGTAGCCAGATGGCAGTCTTTAAATAAAGGGTGTCCCAAAATTCACGCAAGATTTGAATTTTGCGTGAGCATTAACAACAACAACAACAAAAAGTAAAAGCCTAATTTTACTTGGTTTATTGAATCAGATTCTAATATCTGTTGCCCTTTGATTTCAATCCCTTCAATTTGATAAGCATTACCAAGTACCAATGATGGCCCAGGAGCAGGGACAATGAAGACCAATGAAGACCACGGCTTTGCATATGTGCCAGCAAAGCCGTGGAGGCCATTTACCCGATGTGCTATTCCACACATAACCCTATACTGTATACTTCATGAATCAATAAAAAAAAATTACAATTTTTTATATAAACCTGTGTTTTTTATCAAAATTACTTCTTGCGTGAATTTTGGGACACCTTTATATATATTTTAATTGATTTCAGAGAGGAAGGGAGCGCTACAAAGAGGTAGATAGAAACATCAATGATGAGAGAGAATCAATGATGATGGGCTGCCTCCTGCACACCCCCCACTGGGGATCGAGCCCACAACACGGGTATTTGCCCTGACTGGGAATCGAACCATGACCACCTGGTTCATCGGTTGACACAACCACGGAGCCACATGGGTTGGCTAGGTGGCAGTCTTAGCTTCCAGTTCACTGGAATCGTTGTGTCGCGGTTACATCGTTTCTCCCTGTTGTGGGTTGAATTTGTGTTCCGAAAACTCATGTCCATCCAGAACCTCGGAATGTGACCGTACTTGGAAATGAAATATTAGCGGATGTAAATCAAATGACTGGAGTCTTATAAGAAGGCCATGTGAAGACACAGGGAAGAAGGCAGTGAAGTGGGGCAGGAAGTGCAGTGATGCTGTACAAGCCAAGCCAGGCCCAGGACTGCTGGCAGCAGCGGCAGCAGCTAAGTGTGTGAGCATCCAGTCATTCTCCGAGACCCCTCTGTCTTCCGTGCGGGCCAAAGAGGAGAGCTGAATGGAGACTGGGAATCACCACCCCTGCACCTTTCATGCTCTTGTTGGTGACACTCTCTCTGCCATCCCTCCAGGGACATGGCATTGCTTTCGATTGACCATTTTCCTACGTAGAGGCAGTTCTAGTGACTTCCACGTGGCCTTCTGTACCCTGACACCCCTCACTCCACAGGTCAAGGAACCAGTGTGGGGAGTCTGCCAGTTGCTGGGGACACACCTACCTCTAGGATGTGTTCAGGGACCCACTGGACGCACTGTGAGATCGACCTGAGCTAAAATGCCATTGGTCACCTGACCTCCACAGGTTTCAGCGCTGACCGGGGGACCACAATGATGCTGTGGGTCTCCTAGATTTAATGTCAATTTAGACCAGTGTCGAGTAATCCCTGAAAGCCTGGCCATTTCCTTTTCCCCAGAGCAGTCCCCGGGGGAAGGCTGGGAGACACATTACAGCAGTGGTTCTCAACCTTCCTAATGCCGCGACCCTTTAATACAGTTCCTCATGTTGTGGCGACCCCCCAACCATAAAATTATTTTCGTTGTTATTTCATAACTGTAATTTTGCTACTGTTATGAATCATAATGGAAATATCTGATATGCAGGATGTATTTTCATGGTTACAAATTGAACATAATTAAAGCATAGTGTGATTAATCACAAAAACAACATGTAATTATACATGTGTTTTCAATGGTCTTAGGCGACCCCTGTGAAAGGGTCGTTCGAGCCCCCAAAGGGGTCGCGACCCACAGGTTGAGAACCGCTGCTTTATCACATATGTTTTCAGTGTTGCAGGGTCCCTCCTCAAGGGGACCCAGCCCCCTTCCTTCAAGGGGTTCTGAGTCTGTAAACTGGCTTAAGCCTGGGCGTTGATGGAGGGGCCATAATTCTCTGTGTTGGTGAATCAAGAGACTTGCATTCACTCGACCTACGACTCTTCTGCTTATCCCGATCAAATAGGAATTGAGTAGAAAATCCATTTCCTTCTTCCCAAGGCAATACCATGACCAACTAGCCAAAGCCGAAGCTCTCTGCAAGTCAAATCATCTGACTTCTGTGTTGCCTCTGCTGCCCATGATGCTAAGCACAGCCAGCTTGTCTTTGATGGTTAAGGGGCACCACTTGGCCCCTGCCACTCTGGAACTGTTACCCCCACTGTATTTAGGGATACCAGCCAACTGGCACTATTTCCCACTGTCATTTCTGACCCATAGCGATGAGTGACCCAGACTCTGCAGTGAGGCGGGGCTCCCCCTCCCTAATTTACTTCTCAATCATGATGCAAGTTGTGTCTGCTGGACCCTGGCAGGGTGGGAGAGCAAATCTCAAATGATAAATCCATTCTAACATTCCGGTCTCCCTCAGTAAGCCTTTCCATGTCTTCCTCTAGTGTCCCAAGGCAGTTCCTGCACGTCACCTTCATTCAGTGTAGATAGACCACCATTTAAAAATACATATACATATACATATACATATACATATACATATACATATACATATACATATACATATACATACACATATACATATATATATACATATTGATTTCAGAGAGGAAGGGAGAGGGGGAGAGAGATAGAAACATCAATGATGAGAGAGAATAATCATTGATCGGCCGCCTCCTGCACACCCCCTACTGGATCAAGCCCACAACCCGGGCATGTGCCCTGACCAGGAATTGAACCATGACCTCCTGGTTCATAGGTCGACGCTCAACCACCAAGCCACGCCGGCCGGGCAGGTACACCACCTTGTCATCTGTCTCAGCCAACCACCGAGCACAGTGTTCCAGCCCTTTCTAACTCCTCATGCTTAGTCCATCATTCCAGAACCTCTGCTCCCTGGGCCTGTACGAACACGTTCAGCCTGATCCAACTTTCTGTTCCTTTCACCAGCATCCCACACCCTCGTATCTATTCCCATGCACACCCCGATTTTTGTCTGGATGAACTTGAAAAACCACGTTGTTCTTTTGGTGTCCCTGTGTGGTACAACTCCTCACACCTCACCCTTTGGGGCCTGCTGGGACTCCAGTCAGGTTATAGGACGAGAAACAAAGAGGGGTGGGGTGGGAGTAGGTCCTGGGAAGAATTAGTGTCGAGGGAGGCACCGGGGGAGCCGGTTACAGTTTTCATACACAGGGTCAATTAACTTCCTTAGAAACAGGTATCAAGGCTGGCTCCTAGGACACAGGCCCCCAGAAGCTCTCCCTTGTCAGGCTGTAGACAGGTGTGGCTTCTCGCCTCCCTTTTGGCTACAGACAGAATATTTATCGCCATGGTTATTATGTATAATGTCATTCTAACCAAGTACCTGCTTGCTACGTAGAATGCCAACTGCGGCACTGCTAGTAACTGACTGCATTTTCCCGGGGCCTTTCACGGGAAGGAGGCTGCGGACCAGGCCACACCCCCTTCAGGCCCATCACGTATATTAAAGACCCGAAGACACAGGGAAGAAGCCTGTGAACTTGGCTGAACCTGAGGTTCCCAAATGACCATGAGCTCATGTTGGGGAGTGTTTCTTCTGTAGAACTAAGATTAAAACCAACAAACATCTTGGAAGTTGCAAACTTAATCAGCTGCTACGTTGGCCTGAGCTGAAATTTGGGAGTTTTGGGTTCATTCCTAGCTATTTAATTGCTACTTAATGAAGATCCAGCCCTGAGTGGAGTGGCTCAGTTGGCTAGAGCTCTGGAAGGTTGCCGGTTCAATTCCTGGTCAGGGCACACACCCAGGTTGTGGGTTTGAGCCCTGGTCAGGGTATACAGGCAACCGTCAATGTTTCTCTCTCTCTCTTCCTCAATAAGTAAAAAATATATTATTTTAAAGTAGCTTTACCTATGAAAATAATGAAGATCGAAACCAATCATTTTCTAAGTATCAATAGAACGCAGTGCCTTATTAGACGACATTTAGTGACTGCTGAGGAAGATTGACATTTCTGCCACGTCCCCCACCTGTCAGCTGTCTTAAGCCTTAATTGTGGTCTGAAGGTTCTCCCCCCGGCCTAGTGGGGCTTGAGCCAATCTGAACACTTGTCAGCTGTTCCCAGAAGCACCTTCCTGGGACTATTTTGGGTCCATGGAATCTGGAGTTTAATCCTCACAACCTGACACCACAGGGAGAAAGGCCCCAGCCCTTCAGCAAGAAGACATGGGTGCCACCATGGTCTCGGGTTCCAGGCCCCTCACAAAACGGTGATGCCCCTCTTTTGAAATGAATTGCTTTTCCATCCAAGACTTAAGGGGGCTTGGCGTGGCATGAGGCCTGGGGCTGTGCTGTTGCTAAGGGAAGGGAGGAATTCTGTCCTCGTCATTCTGAGTGGGCGAGAGGAGAGTGTGTACAATTGCCGAGAGGAAGATACCTAATGCCACCAACACGAGGTTTGGGGATGAAACCTGGACGGGTCTATGTCAGCCAGTGCCACTTAAATCCGGGAATGCGGGCAAACACAAGTGTATTCTTAGTAAACTAAGACTTTCACGGCCTATCATTTTTCATCAGTGCCAATAGTCATTTTATAAAAAGCAGCAAAACATTCAGGTTACTTAAAAAATCAGGATCTCAACTGTTGACCATCCAGTGAGTGGCCCGGGCACGGAGTAAACGGCTAAGACTCTGCCAGGATCAGTCATAGCAAAACTTTATTGAACAGAAAACCCAGCAAAGGTTTCCACCTCTGCACAGTTGCCCGTGGTTTGAAGGAAAGCAATGCATTTAAAAAGCAATAATACAGAAGTCTCTCCTAGAAAAGTCCTGCTAAAACATGTCTAGCAATTCATTGATTATATAAAGTAGTACACTTAGTGTAATTTAAACATTCCAACAGGAATCAAATCGCACCAGCAGAACCATTTCTGCCTCTATGACATCTATGTACAAACACACATGCAGACACACGTATCTGGGAAAGGTCCTCAGGCATAAACATGCGACACACGCCTTCTATGTACAGTGCCTATAAACTACATACAATAGGTAGTAAAGCTCTTCAGAATAAAGACATGAGAAGCCTTGGGCGTTTTTTGTTCATCAATTTGTATCATGGCTTCACGTCTTACTTTCTGCTTTTGCTTGATCACAAAAGCATCTCCCCCTCCTTGTTGGTTCTTTACCAATTCTGTGCCATCGCCGTGTCCAGGTGAGGAAATCTAGCTGGATCAATGGTCCAGTCCATGCCTGCCCAGGCCACCAGCAGCCAGAAGGCAAACCGCCTCAGTTTGCTATGGCGGGGGGGCCTTCGGGAAGGAGAGAGGCAAAGAAAGTCTTGAAGACGAGCCACGCTGTGCTCATGAATGAAGGGCTGGTCTGCTCGCCATCCACTACGTTCCTGTCTGGAGGGAGGCGGTTGGGGTTTTCGATTTCAGCCTCAGGGCCTTCCTATTGGTAATGAAACAGCGAGAAAGCAGTTAGGACCGGGATCCACACCAGACCCTGCTGGGCAGTGGCAGAGGCAACCCTGACCCCTCCCTCGTGCCCTATGGGAAGCGCCAGGCGGGCAGGGCCCCGGGAACGACGCCCTGGGTCCTGGCTGGCGTGTTCTCCGGTCTCCATGGCACAGCCGCGCTGGTGACATTCTCATCGTTTCAAATATTCCCAGCAGCAAGTATCAAAGCAGGTGTAGCAACTAGATCTTCAACCACTACTAACCAAGTAATTAAGTTACCCCTCATTAAATATGGATAGTCCAGTGTTGGCGATGTTGTGAGTTAAAAGAATTGAAATGGAAATCCAGGGTTCTAAAAACAGATAGTAGGATAACTTAAAAATATCCTTTAGGAGTATGCATTAAACTGCCTTATAAAAATTCTATTTCTGTGTGTTATTTTTTCAGGAAATCTATTCTGTGAGATGCTTATGCTCTTAATCCTTAATTAATATCCATTAGCTGTTTCCATGACATAACATATGGTTGCAGACCACTGAACACTCAAAATAGTGAACTTAAAAAGATTATTTAAATATGCCAAAATGCAAATTGCCATGTGACAAAAATACCCGATAGATGCTGTGACATGTTAATGTTTTCAAAATAGCTACCATCAAGAATAAACAGGAGCCCGGCCGGCGTGGCTCGGTGGTTGAGCATCGACCTACGAACCAGGAAGTCATGGTTCGATTCCGGTCAAGGGCACATGCCCAGGTTGCAGGCTCGACCCCCAGTGCGGGGTGTGCAGGAAGCAGCCGATCCATGATTCTCTCTCATCGTTGATGTTTCTAGCTCTCTCTCTCCCCCTCCTTTCCTCTTTCTGAAATCAATAAAAATATATTTTAAAAAGAAGAAGAAACAGGAAGAAATCTTGAGCTATGGAGCCTAATAAAGTGGTGAACCAGGACACTGGATTGTAAAGGCTGAGGTTTGGGCGCCTGCACCTCACGCCACGCTCCCGGCTCGCGGCAGCTCCATACCTGCAAGTTATTGTTGGGGTCCTGGTTTGCAGCCTCCGGACGAGGCCCGTCATTCGGGAAGTTCTGCACCGGCCTCTGTCTAAACGGAAACCACCCAACGTGATGCCTTCAAAGGAAGCACATAAGAGCCCATCTTGGTCAAGAGCACAGTGAGTCTACTCAACAGAAGGGTCTCCTCAGCGGGTAAGGTCCCCCTCCCTCCCCTCCCCTCCCAGCTGGACGCTCACGGCCAGGCCCCCTGCAAAGACCGGCTATCCCTCCATCTCATTCTACCCCACCACCTCCCAGGCTCTCACTGGCCTGTCAGGCTCTTAAAGGGGCCGCATGTTTAGTCACCAGTTCACACTCACGGCACACAGCACTTGGCACACAGACATGCTCAGGGAGTGCTGGCGTGGCCGGAAGTGCGATTTGTACTGAGGGGAAAGGGAAGTGATGGTCTGCTTACAGGTACATAACCACTGTGGCCCCCATGACCATGAGGAATCTGCTCAGGGAGGAGTAGAAGTAGAGGATGCTGAGAAAAACGGAGAACGTTGCTGCGGAGTAGGTCCAGTCCAACCAATCGCGATTGATCTCGTCATCTTCCTCCACGAGAGGGCCACCTTGCGCATTCATCCGTAGGTTTTGATTGGCCCCAGGATTAACCACCACTTGAGGAGCAGCATTCTGATTGGCTGGCTGGTTTTCGGCTGGAAACTGGTTGTGAATAGGGGCTGGAGCAGGTGCGGAGACCACGGGTATCTCTTGGGCACTTGGTGAGGGAACAAAAGTCCCCGATGCGGCAGTGGCCGCTAAACTGAAATGGAAACAACAGGGGCAGATGCTGTTGAGAGCAAAGCTCCGTGAGACCGTGGTCGTCACCGTTCTCACGCAGGGGACTTTACTGTGAAGAACTCTAAGTAGGTACATACAAACTTAGTTTTTTCTTTAACGTAGTGAAAAACTTCTCTTTTTTAAAAAATAGGTTTTTACTGATTTTTAGAGAGAGAGAGGAAGGGACAAGGATACAGAGATAGAAACATGGATGAGAGAGAAGCATGGATTGGCTGCCTCCTGCACACCCTCTACTGGGGATCAAACCCACAACCCGGGCATGTGCCCCGACCAGGAATCAAACTGGTGACCTCTTGGTTCCCAGGTCAATCCTCAACCACTGAGCCACACTGCCTGGGCAGTGAAGAATGTCTTTACCAACAATCCTACCTATACATGCCTTTCTGCTCCTAGGAGCAGCAACAAGATATTTTGTCTGGAATGAAATATCCAGGCCACTTTAAGAGTGTGGTGCAGTAACAAATTAAAATTTTCACAAAGCTTTAAAGATACAGATTGAAAAGGAAGGAACATAAGTGAAGGCGGGAAAGCAAGTATCAGACACCAGCACCCCTACATGGGGCATCGATAACAAACTGGCTAGCAGTTATCACTCACACTGTACTCCACCCACGGAACCACAGGGTTCTGCAGGCACGGGTGACCTTCCCTAGCTGGCCAGGTAACAAGATGGGCTTTCCCTCCGCCCGGCCCAGCCCCCGCGCACCAGGGAAGGACTCACTACTGCATGTAGTACTGCCGCGCGTAGATCTGCTGGAACCAGGACAGCTGCAGCCACCCATAGGTCGTGTAGCCCGAGAAGCCAGGCCCCAGGCCTTGGAACGCCGGCTGGGCAGCTTCCGGCCTAGGAAAGATGGTTTTAAATGCAGATTTTGAGTTGGTTTAGTACAAATAAGTAAAAGCTGAGTTTAAACGACAATCAGGAATTCAAATCACAGAGACTGGAGAATGGGCGTATGACAGCTACTCGTAGGTGACTGGAACGCGAGCACAGCAAGTCCTGACGAGGCGCCCCCGCCAGGGCCCAGCGCTCCCAGCACTGGTTCTCATTGTGCTGTCACGGACACGCACACAGCTGGACCGTCCGAGGCTGTGGCTCCCACTCCCGTTTAGGACTTGCCGAGTCTCACTGCAGGTCTCACCCCACTGTTCTCCTTTAGGAAGCAGCTCTAAGAAACCACAATCCTCCCAAAGCCTTTCCTGAAGGACCCTTCCCTCCTCCCAATACCCCTCTCCCGCCTCTAGGTCGGGATCTATGCCCGGGCCAGCGATGCGTGCATGTGGCATCACCCATGCTTGCTCACCGGCCACTTGTGCCCTGGACAGGCTGCTGGGCAGTTATCTGACTGGATCCCCAACAGCCTTGTGGGGAGACAGCTCTCCCCATTTCACGAGGAAGCCCCGAGTGCAGCTCAGGGAAGACGAGATTTATTTGCACAGAGTCACTGAGCTAATAGCAGGGCTGGATTTGAGAGCTGTTGTTTGACACCAAACACACTCATTTTTCCATCATGCAACAGTCTGACACGGCCTAGGACAGGGCATGGGGGTCGCGAGTGGCTTTGTGAGCTGCACACAGTCAACTCCACAAGGTGGAAACTAACGGAATTGTGGGAGATCAGGAGTTGGTTACATGCTCATCTCCATTGGGTGAACTCATTTCTTAAACAAAGTCCTATGCACTGGCTGCTCAGTAAATAGTTGAATGCAATCATCGAGTTTATTACCGTGAAATTCAGTCAGGTATGGGCCTCAGTTCTCAAGATGCACAGCCCAAATGAGGGAAGCAGTTTTAAGTGTTTCTATCCAAAAAGGAATGCTGACAGTCTCTTTTAACTGAATTCCATACCCAGAGTGTTTTTAAAGCAGTATTCCAATACAAGCGTGACTCATTTAAAAATCACAGAGCGTGAGAATTAGGGGGCAGAGGTGCTCCCTGGCTCCGATGATGGCACTGCAGGTGCGCACGAAAACTAAAGGGTGTCTACAGTTACGTACCGAGTACGTAGGGGTAAAATGATATCATGTCCGGGAATTACTTCAGGAAAAAAAAAAAAAGGGAGTGAGGAATAGATGAAAGAAGTATGGCGACACTTTGTCGTTACTGGGCCGGTGAGGGTTATGTGGGGATTCATCATCCAGTTCCCTCCACCTGTGTGTGATTGAAATGACCATTTATTAAGAAACGCCACCAACTCCTCACCCTCAAACACCTGGCGCTATCAGTCATCACGTATAAAAGAGCGACAGTCGCTTCTGGCTTTGGCTCTGAAGGAAAGGGCTCTCGTGGCTCCACAGAAAATGGCCCTTGTTCCAGCACCATCAACAGTCCGTGGCAGAACATTTCTCAAAACTGTCTCTCCACCTCTGTCACCCAATGCCACGCGAGCGGCTCAGCAGAGCAGCTGCACGGCGCTTCCAACAGCTGTTTTCCTGAAGCAGCACTGACCTCCCACCGTGAGGTCAGCACATGCAAAGCACAGCCGTGCAGGAGGGGAGATGCCTTTCGATACATATTTCTCCACATTTCATATGGAGTTGATTTAGTACAAATAAGCGAGAACTGAGTTTAAATGACAAGAAGGCTGTGTAGTGAGAAAGGTTAAGTTCATAAAAGATCTTTCTAGGGAAACCCCTATAAAGCAGCACTCTGTCCATTTTAAAGTTCTGTAAGCAGACATTCCTAAATGGATGCAAACGGGCCTGTTCATGGTGCATAAACCTGGTTCGTTATTGTAACACTCACCTCGAGATGTTCTCCCAGCCAGAGGGAGAAAGGTTCCGAAGAGACTCCCTCAGCCTCACACCATCGCTTGAGGAATCCCCAGGATACTGTCCCTGAGTGGGGCCAGCGGGCTGCTCTGTGGATTCAGCAACCTAGGTGAGTGCAACGTGACCATGAGACAGAGGGCCTGATGCAACCGGCTGAAATCAAGCTGAAGGAATGATTTCACTGGGAAAGGCTACGTCCCCCACCCCGACCTCTGAACGTAATAAAATTAAATAGATACAATGTCATGTAAAAAATATTCTGAAATTTAACACCATTTCAAAATATAGATGTGTTGTGTGTGTGTGTGTGTATATATATATTTGATTGTTATTTTTTCCTAGAGTAACTATGTTATAGTTTCATTAAAATCTTCCAATGAAGTTATCATTGGTGAGAATGCTTCCTGGTAATGCACTGTATCTCTATGGCTACACTTACTAAACCAAGAAATTAAATATGACCAGCACAATTTATAAATACAGCGCAGCCAACAACCTAAAGGAGAGAATTTCCTATGCTATGTTCAGCTGTTTCAGGAAATAGCGATATAATGCCAATTTAGAGTGTGTCACTACATGTATGAATGCACACTGTGAAATGAAACATAAATAGACTGTCAAATATGTCTTTAAAGATCATTTGATAGAATTTCACAATGAAATTTTCCAAAGAAAATATATTCACTTTTTTACTCTTTATAAAAATTAAAAGTTCCTGGGAAGAAGCTTATGTGCCCAAGTCCATGAAAACCCGCTGCAGAGAGCCTTGCTCGTTTCAGCGATGCGCACGCAGCCTCTGCAGGTCGCACCACAGCCCAGAGACAGTGGCCGGAGCTCCTCTTTCCAATATGGCCCTGCCTGCCACTGTCGCAGTAAGCTCTCATTTGTATTGTGTCTAATTCCTAATTCTCATCGGGGACGAAACAAAATATGACAATAGAAAGACCATAAAATCTCTCTGAAGAGTTTTATCCAATGTCCTTTCTTCCCCCCGAGAGTCTGAAGGACGCAGGGTATCCACTCAGACCTACCTTTGCGCTGGTTTCTGGCATTCTGGACGGACTTTTCACATTGCACACCAAGTGCAGAACATGCCGGGTTTCCTGCTGAGAGAGACATGGAGGCACTTTAGCACCTGAACTCAACCTGGCAAGATCATCAAAACATTCGGACGTTAATATATAAACGATGTACCTTTGGAAGCAAGTCCCTGAGATACTGGTTATCCAGCAGCAGCTTCCCCGAGTAAATTAACCTCTGGTCCTCTGGGCGCTTATCATGGAAAGAAAGAGCAACAGTCAGCGTTTAACCCACGGGTTCCCAACCGCAGAAGACACTGCTTCGTACACATAATTTCAATACGCGTTTCTTCCCAGCACATCACAGGAAAACGTTTCTTCAAAGGCCCCATAGACAAAACTTTTATTTAAGAAAGTGCTTTAAGATTAAGCTGGTCTCTCACATATAAATAAATTTAGGATGGCAAATGATCTCGTCCACAAAACCTACAGCAACCTACTAACTCAGGGAAACTGCGTTCTGCCACTAGAAACACACATTTGATTAGGGCTCCTGCAGCAACTGACTTCAACACTTGCGTTTCGTTTCAGAGAAAACTCGAAGTGCTCCCAAAGTGGGCCCCACCAAACCCACCTCGCACTGTCCCAAAATAACAAGAAGCAATTCTACACTCCAGCCCCGGAAGAGACATTTCCGGACACACAAATGCAGTCACAGAGGAGACGGTGTGGGTGACAGTTCTACAGCCTGTGAGACCCGCACTCCTGTTTTAAGGGGAAAAGTCTGAAATTGGCTTGTCCACGGTCACTACCTGCTACTCTAGCAGCTAGAGCAGGGATGGGCAAACTTTTTGACTCGAGGGCCACAATGGGTTCTTAAACTGGACCGGAGGCCGGAACAAAAGCATGGATGGAGTGTTTGTGTGAACTAATATAAATTCAAAGTAAACATCATTACATAAAAGGGTACGGTCTTTTTTTTTTTTAAGTTTTATTCATTTCAAGCGGGCCGTGGGCTGAGCTAGAGCCTGGATGCCATCCCCTCTCATCCCTTCCAGTGACTTGGGAGACCACAGGGACTCCACACACTTTCCACAAATCTCACTTTTAAAGCCTGTTTTTAATTCCTTTGAGAATTGTACTTAAAAATAATGGCCTCAAACGCCAGTCGGTACACTGGAGATTGCCAACCTGTCAACCTACTCCGGCCAGAAAAACCTATTATGCAACACTTGGAATACAGCTGTTTCCGCCAAGTAGCCTGAGATGATAAAACAAGTGGTTTAAAACAAACAAAACAATAACCGCATCAATCCGGATTTTTACAAACTGTGCGACAAAAACAAGTACAGAAACTACTATACTGGATGCCGTGTTCTCACCGGTTGGCTTTATCAGCAAGTGCGATGCACATGACTTTGTAAAATGCTATTGAAGACGTGAGTCCTACACATGAAAAAAGCCCCACACTGGAAAAGCTTTGCAATCCACAGCTGCCTGCCATTTCAATTACTTCCCCGATTAAAGGCCTAAATTGACGCTGTGTTTTTTACCGAGGAGGCTGATTAAACAATTAAACGTGTTAAGCCAACAACTATCAAAAAGAAAACAAACCAGTCCTCTCCAGCTGTAAGTTTTAAGCCCACATTTAGTATCTGGGAGGCCTTTCATTTGCTCCTGGGTGCTGAGGCTTCATGGCAGTGACGCTCCTCACCCCAGGCGGCCCTGGGAAAGCTCTCCTCCAACACTCCGCCCCAGAGACTGCACCTGCTTCACCCACCTGGGCCCCCAACAGCCCTTCGCTCGGCAACGCGGCCCCTGGGTGAAACCCGAGCCCCCGGTGAAGGCACACACACCAACAGGCACATTTCAAAAGGACAGCTCACTTTCCACATTCGACAGGGAACCAATACGGACGGGAAACCGCCCCCAGCCTGAGCTGCCGCACACCCCGCCCCTCCTGGGGTCGGACGGAGCGATTTCCCCGGCGCCTCCCGCCCGGCAGGGGACACTTGTGGGCAGCCAGGAACGCGCTGACACTTACATAACATCAGGGCGGAAAGTCAATATTGTCCAGCGCTCAGCCTCCGTCACGTGGGAGGGCGGGGCCGAGGGAGGGAGGGGACAGGGCGATACTGACAGACGTGTCCACCAAAACAAAGCCAGGAAGTCCCCGTAATTGAGGAACCCAAGTCCTCAAGCCCGGACTCCGGGAGCCTCCTTCCGCCTGGGCGCGTCCCTTCCCCACCTCCCTCCACCCGCAACGCGCCGGCTCCTCCCGGGGACCCGGCAGGACCCGGCGGAGCGGAGCGTGGCAGGGAGGGGCCGGGAGCGGGACCGGGGCGGGGAGAGCCACGTCCGGCCCCGGGTGTGGGGCCCCGCGTACACCCCGCTTCCCCAGCCGGCGGCCTGGGGTCGGCCCCGCCCCGCCCTCCCCGCCAGGGGACCCCGGCCACACCCGGAGAACTCCTGCAGCATCTGTTTCCTAATTTCCACCCGGGGACGCGGTCTGAACGAGGAACCCTTAAGTCGCCGGGTCGCTGGGGAGGAAACTGAGGCTTGAAGGGTGAACGGCCTCCCCCAAGGTCACGCTGCTGTTGCAGCGGCTCGGCTCGGGCTACCAGCCGGACCTAGGGGCGGGGGTCTGGGCAGGGGGGGCAGGAGGAGAGGGGGCAGGGGAAGGCAGCCCGTCGGAAGGCGGGGCGATGGCGGCCGGGACCAGGAAGTGACAGCTGCCGGGCCGGGAGACGGGGTGCCCCCGGAGGTGGGGCAGGGAGGGGAGACCCCGGCCCTGGGGGAGGTGACGGGGTGAGCACCCACGATCGGGGGAGCCCGGCGAAGGGAGAAGCTGTAGGGAAAGGGGAGGCGGACGTGGCATTCCTGGGGGGACGCACGGCGGGCGGGGGGCGGCGCGGGCGGGGCGGGCGGCTCACCGGGCGCTCGGGGTAGACCAGGCTCAGGTGCGCCTTGAGGCGGCCGACGCTCCAGCCGCGGTCGCCGCTCAGCTCCAGGTCTCGGTGGCGCTGGTTGGGGCTCTTCACCAGCAGCGTGACGGGCTCGGGCTCGGGCTCGGCCTCCATGTCGGCTGCGCCGTGGGCTCCTCCGTCAGCGCTCCGAGGTGCCGGGCAGCCGCCCGCAAGCTCCGCAACGACAGTTCGCGTCTCCGGGGCGCGCACGCGCGCCCCCGCCTCGGGCCCCTTTTATAGGCTCCCCGCACCCGGCTCCGCGCTCGGAACCCTGTGTGGCCGCCGCCCGTTGGCTAAGGCCGAGGCCACGTCCCCGACGTGGACCAATCGCAGGCCGGCTCCGTGGACAGGGGCGGGCCGAGCGCGTGGGCGCGGCTGATGCAACCCGCCGCGGTGGCGTCACCCAGCGTCGGGGCTGCGGCCGGGGGGCCGGGGTTCGGAGGCCATCACGGGGTGCGCTCTGTCCCGAGGACACTGGGGCGCTCCCTAGCTCCGGGTGCCCACAGCGCCGTAGGGAGGGTCAGCCAGGTCCACCCCGGCTGGGCAGCCTCTGCAGATTGTGTGCTCACAAAGCAGCACTCCGCCCTTTTGCACCCCAGGCGTCCAGCCCCCCTTCCCCTCAGAGGGACGTCAGGCCCTGCACCCCGACCCACCGGGGAGGCCCCCCCACATCTCCCCCGTTGGCGAGCCCACCCAGAAGGGCGCCCCGTGCGCATTAGAAGCGCAAGGAAGAAGCAGAGCCGTCTTTCTTGGGTCCCCTGTGGCCAGTTTCCCTGTGGCCTCCGCCTTGACCCCCCCTTACACCCTGGAGGGTGGGACTTCGCCCTGGGAAAGGCAAGCAGGCCACCCGCCGATTGCACCTGGAGACGCTGGAAAGGGACCCACGTCCTGGGCAGTCGACAGGTGCTTTTTTCGAAATTGGGGCTGAGACCTGGAGGGCAGGGTTCTCAAGTTTTCTAACATGTGACCACAAAGGCCGCTCTCCAGGCAACACTCCCTCCTTCCCAACTGTAGAGAAAGGGGCTTGAAAACAAGACTGACATTGTGCCGGCCCCATCCCCGCTCCAGTCCTGTTGGGACATCTGGTTTTCCAGGTGTGTCATGTGGCCGAAAAGGGACCTCACCCTAAACCTGGCAAGCTCAGGGGAGGCCTGCCTGGCGGCCTGAGAAACTCAGAGACCTGAAGTGACCACAGGGGACGGTCAGAAATTTAAACTTTTTTGTTGTTAATCCTCACCTGAGGACATGTTTTCCATTGCTTTTTTAAGACAGAGTTGGAAGGGAAGGGGAGAGACAAACATGATGTGAGAGAGACACATTGATTAACTGCCTCCCACTGGCGCCCCAGCCAGGGCCAGGGATGGAGCCCGCAACCCAAGTACATTGGCCAGAATCGAGCCCTGGACCCTTCAGTGCGCCGCCTGACATTCCAACCACTGAGCAAAACCAGCTCGGCCTGAAATTAACACTTTATAACCAAAAGTCATGTCTTAGGGCGGTATTTTTTCCTATCAAAGGTCAACCTTCGCCTTAAACTGATTTAATGCTTTGCTGTCAACATCTGAAAAGTCAGAATAAAAGTTTGAAGAAGTTGAAGTTTTATAAGATTTAAAAAAAAAAGTTTGAAGAAGAGCTCTATGTTTTCACTGGGTCCCACGAATCATGTAGCTTTTCATATGTCAGGATGGAAGGAAATGACTGATTATGACCCGGTAGCCTTGCACCCAGCTAGAGGCTGACCAGTGGGGCCAGGCCACATGAAACCAGCAGAGGCCTTACAGGGGGCAGCCAGGCGGGAGAGGACGGCCTCACTGGGAAATTAAGAATTCTAGCTGCAGTGATGAGCATCAGGGCCCCTCCGGTGGCCCCATTTCCAGTCGTAGGAAGAGGGTAAAGGGGTGCCCCCCACCCCTGGGAAACGGCAATCCAATGTCTGTGATTCCCGAGGGCAGGGGTCCTCAAACTATGGCCCGCGGGCCACATGCAAATACAAATACTGTATTTGTTCCCGTTTTGTTTTTTTACTTCAAAATAAGATATGTGCAGTGTGCATAGGAATTAGTTCATAGTTTTTTTTTAAACTATAGTCCGGCCCTCCAACGGTCTGAGGGACAGTGAACTGGCCCCCTGTTTAAAAAGTTTGAGGACCCCTGCCCGAGGGTTATGTCCCAAGGAGCTAGCAGCCGCTTTGGAAGCTCTTTGGTGCTTTTGCCTCTAGCACCTTTAGACAAACATAAAATTCAAGTCAACAAGTGTGCCAGGAATAGAAGGATAAACACGAGTGACCCTGGGCTCGGTGACCTTACAAAAACAATGGGGGTGATAAGACTGTACAAAAATACAAAAATAAAAGACAACCCCAAACTCGCCTTACATTTCTGAAGGACTCATGATTCCATCCAGGGATTTCAAGAGACAGAGAAGAAGAGGGGTGAGACAGAGAAAACTTGATGGCAGAGGTGAACTTGGAACTCTGAAGGAAGGGTGACATTTGAATAACAATAATAATGGTAGCAATTATGAGTAAGCCCCAAGGGTACCTGTGTACAGGACTTGTGTGGGCTCAGTGGTTAAACTCATGGACTCAGAGCCAGACTGCCTGTTTTCAAACCCAGCTTCTGCCATGTAGGAGCTGTGTGACCTTCAGCAAGTTACTTAAGCTCTGTGCCTAATTTCCTCATCTTTAAAAGAGGAAGAAGAAGAATAGAATCGACTTCATTGGGTGCTCAGGCTTAAATGATAGGACAGCGTTAAAGGTCCTGGGACAGATACAGACACGTAGGAAGTGCTTCAGAAATGTTAGTCATTAGTATTTAGGGAACTACGAGTCCCTAACTTAGGGTTCCCGAGCCTACCTGTGAAATAATCACTAAGGAACTTTTAAAAAAATTGATTTCAGAGAGGAAAGGAGAGGGAGAGAGAAAAACATCCATGATGAGAGAGAATCATGGATCGGCTGCCTCCTGCACACCCCACACCAGGGATCTAGACCAAAACCTGGGCATGTGCCCTGACCGGGAATCGAACCGTGACCTCCGGGTTCATAGGTGAATGCTCAACCACTGAGCCACACCGGCCGGGCAGGAACTCGTTTTTAAAGTGAATTTCTGCAACACCAAGTATTGGCAAAGATATGGAGCTACCAGAGCTCTCCTGGGTGGCTGGTAGGACACCCCTGTGGACATGGTCTGGAAGTTTCTCACAAAGTTAAACACCCACCCCCCCTACCACAGCCATTGCACTTACAGGGATTTACCCAAAAGAAATCAGAGGCTTGCATGGGAATGCGGATGGCAGCTTTATTCGTCATAGCACCCGTCGCTATGGGTGTCAGTTTCTTTTTTTTTCTTCCCTAGCAAAACACCCAGCTTCCCCAAGCTGGTTACAGGCTAGGCCTGGCACGTAGGCAAAGATGCGGGCGGCTGCAGACATCATTTACAGGAACAGCCTTGTTTAAGTGGTGGGACTTTTTTCATCTCCTCCAGGAGCTCACTTCTGCTTGCTCAGCCCTCCTATTCCACTCGCTCAATTTTCCTCTTTACCGGCCTCTCCATTCACCCCTCCAACCCTCTTACCTCCGACCTGGTCGGGCCAGCCTTGCCCACGCCAAACCACACCCATCATGCCGGCCTGCCAGGGTGGCCCCAGCTCTGGTTCCTTGTGGGCAGGCCCTTTGCCTTGCTTCCCAAACCTCCTCACTGTCACCCACCCCACCTTTCTCCAAGACGGGACCCCCGGGCATCTCCCGGTTCTGTAGCTCTCCGGCGTGAAGACCACTTGTCCTTCCGCCGCTGCCTTGCATCCGTGTGACATGCCGCTGTCTGGCCTCCCCGCCAGGTGCTTCTCCGCGAGGCTCTGCCCACTCGGTATTTTTAGAAACGGAATGTGTTGTGGTTCCCTCTCAGCAGAGACGCTCAAGTCACGCGTGAGTGAACCCTCACTTTAGCCCTCACTTCGAATGGGGAATGAATGGCCAATGAAGCCACTGGCTGGGCCTTCCTGGGCCCCGTGTCTGTGAACACTTTTGAAGTACGCAGCATTTTTATTTTTATTTTTTTGACACCCTGAGTTATATACAGCTACAAGCAAAGCCTGTTTTGCATGTGCTTGGGGGCCACTCAGCCAGGTGGTTCTTCTGGAACATTCCACTGACAGGTGTGGGCAGGAACGAAAAGAGGATATGAAATCTGGAGGGGAAATTGGGAGCTGACTGGGCAGTGGATTGGGGGGCGGGGGGGGGGGGGGGCGGGGGGAGAGATAAGAGAGGAGTCACTGCTCTGGTGGTGGGTGTGGCTGTGGGCTGTGGCCAGGCCCTGATGACCCACGTGCCTGAGGGTCAGGCTTCCCATGCACACACAATGGGAGGACCACAGGGAAAACACCTCCCTGTTCCTCCTTCCCGCCCCCCCCCCCCCCCCCGCCACACACACACACACACACACACACACTGAAACTCACTAACGTGGAGCACTTTACATCCAAGGCACAGAGAGGCCTCTGTGGACTGAAAGGTCTCACCTTCCCAGTGCCCTGAGGCCCAACAGTGACCGGACAGCCTCCGAGCGCTCCTGATCACTCAGCAGAGGAAGTGGGGGGCCACGGGGTGGGGCCCTGGAGAATGTGTTCTCCACCCCACCCCCCAGGACATTGACCAACCAAGTGTGGGCCAAACCACAGTCCTCAGCAGGCCAGTTCTCTCCTTTCACAGACTGAGGCCCAGAGAGATCAAGGGGTGTATCGAGGTCACACGGCCAGTTTTGGGGGGAGATGGAAACTCAAATCCACTTCCCCTGGTGGCCACCCTGTGGCTCATCCACTCCACCTCTTGGTTTGAGGCAAGATTAAAAATCCTGGGAGACTTTTCTAACACGGAAGAAAACAGGCTCCCGGTGAGTCTGCAGACACACGCAAGAGAAGCAAAGGGAAAATGTCTCCAGAAAATACTCGTGCAGCCATCTGGCCACGTGACCTGTAGACCCGTGGACGCTCCGAAAAGTTCAATCCAGGACTGAAAAAACAATGCGCTCAGCAGAGTTGAAAAACAGTGTGTTCCCAAACAAGTCAGTCCTACCCGCCACCTCCCCACCCCCCCACCCCCCACCCCCCTCCTATCCCCCACCCCCCTTACCCTCCCACCCCCTTACCCCCCCTCCCCCCACCCCTGCTGCCCCGCCCGTGAATGTATTTTTATCCATTTCACTGTTTTGACCTCACTGTTAACTCAA